CTTTAGTAGTTACTTTGGATCGAAGGACCCTTTTAATACAGTCATGTATCACTTAAGGACAGGGATATGTTCAGAGAAATGCTTTTTAAGGGGGTTTCTTTGTTGTGCAAACAGCATAGAATGTACTAATCCAGACCTAGGTGTTATAGACTACTGTACACCTAGACTTTAGGCTATTTCCCATGTGGTGCTTATTGGGGCTACCATATCATATGTGGTCCTTCATTGACTGAAACATATTTACGTGGCACATGGCTAATTATTTTCCCTACTTTAAAGATGGGGGTTGACAATAGAAAACAGAGTTATTAAAGTAAATATAAAAATTGGGAGAGAACTGAAAAAAATGAATGAACAAATGGTGACCCACAGTTAACATCTCAGAGATTTTCTTTGACTTCTATAGTGAGAGTACTATTAATAGTAGAATTTATTCACAAGAAAGAAATTCTTGTTTTGAAAGGAAAGTGATCCATCTAACATTGTCATGAATTAGATAATTTTTTTAAGTAAGGAGAAATTGAACTCTTCCTTCTTGTGAGCTGTGTCAATTTAGGACCAGAAGATGGTAAATATTTTTCTTACAGTATGTTGTTACTGATAGCATAAACATTATAAATTATTTCTGAAATAATTTGATTCTGAGATTTATTAAGGAAAAGTTACTCATTTTCACTTAGGAGTTTTTCATTCATGTTCAAATCAGTGAGTTGAAAATAACCTGTGATTTTAAACAATTTGCTTTTCTTCCTTTGGTTAACTTAATTTTTAAGGTAAACTTGACCTATAGTCTGTGCTTTGTTTACTTGGCCATTAAAACATTTACCAAATCAACTAGAGTTGATGACTTTAAAATATACAGGGAGATTTATAGCAAGAACTATTCCAGTGAAATGTGCTATAATGTGGGGAAATGTAAATGTTTTCACAGTTTCTATCAATGTGAAATAAAATTAATTAATTGACTTAAAAATATACAGGGGGAAGAAAAGTTTTTACATTTAAGACCTTTTTCCCCTTTTCTTTGATAGTGGGGTAGTAAAAACATTTTGAAATTATTTTAACTCCTCAATTATTATCTAATTTGCCTGTCGAAGGTGGCAAATTCTGTTTTATGAGGTGTGTCCTTTTCTGTCACAACCCAGTGTGTTGAGGTGTGGTAAGTGAACCTATGTATTTAAATCCATAGAATATGTAGATAAGTTCCTTCTAAGTCATGTGGCTGTGGCTAGTCTTATTCTCATTCTGGCTTGAAAGTTACAGCTAAAGGAAAGGACTTCCCAGGGACAAATTGGACTTAAACTGAATCCCTAGACTTTGATTAGAATCTGGTGGTTCTTAAACAGTATGCATTTTATTTCTGGATATTATTATCTATCAGTTACATCTTAAAGTTGAAAAGATTTAAGAGAGTGCCATGGTAGAACCACTACTGTCACTGGAAGGTTCCTTTCTTCTGAGAGGACTTCATTTGCATGAGTAAATGTTTCTAGATTAAATTTTAAAGCTACCACCAAAAGTTGTTAAAGTGAACTAATAGGAATAGTTAAAGAGAGATGAAATGCTGCATTTATTAGAAATATGAAAGGAAGTTTAGCAAGTGATGGAAATTCCATAAAATTGCAAGGGTATTTTTATGTAGAATAAGATAGTTACTTTTCTAAACTGTGGGTTGCCTTCACAGCTTAGGTTCCCTTCCAATTTTGACCTTTTTTTTTTTTGGTGTTGAATTATAACTCTAAAAAATATTTGTAGAATCTCTATTTGTAAACAGCAATTCTGCCTTTATTTAACAAAAAGTAAACAAAATTGTGTCAGTTTGTAAAATTGAATTTTTTTAACGATTTTTTTTTTTTTTTTAGGTTTTGTCATAGGGCTCATGTGCTCTCTGCAGAAAGAGACAGAGAGAAGGTGAGAAATCACTTCCAGGGGAACAGCTCTGCTGCAATCCCTTCTCCATTCTCCTCTTGGGATTTTGGGCAGACATACACAGGTTTCTGGCGTGATTTTTCAAGCTTCCAGGTATGGGCCTGAAACCATGGTTGGTCATGTGGGAGTTCAGTGTCTTAACCACCATTTTACCTGCTGGCTCCAGATTTTATTGTCTTTACAGTGAAATACATATCTCTCTGTTCTTTTTTAGCCTCTGAATTCCTTCAGTCCTGATTTTATTTATTAGAATTACCAGTGACAGAGAGAGGATGGTTACAATCTTACTAATGATTTTTTTTTTTCTTCAGTTATAGATAACACCTTTAGAACATCTTTTATGTGGTCCATTTACTGGGAAAACTTGGTGGTTTTACTGTAGATTTTGGCAGAGACCTTGGTCTTATATATAAGTAGGTTCTTTAATTTCTTAGAATAAACTTTGAAAATAACCTCTTGTGCTTATGGTGCTAACTTAAAGTTATCTGTATGTACTGAAGAATCTATAGGTCATTTTTAGTATAGTAGATACAGGTGTACAAAAGATAAGCTATAATTGTAAATCCACACATTGTCTTCAGGCAGCTAAAAATACAGGAAGCTACAAGCCCCAGATAAATTTTAGAACAAATTTTTGTGTATCTATGTAACCTTTCATTCTGGAATCCCATGATTTTAAAAATGTAATTTGTAATTCCAATTTGTAATTTTCAATTTTTCTGTGTTTAAACACATGTACAGACACCTCTTTACCACATCAGTGAATTTACTTTTATGTGTTGTGTCATCCCTAAGGTCATCCTCAGATACGGTGATTAACTAGAACTCACAGTACTTTGTGTATAGTATACTCATGGCTATGATTAATTACTGCAAAAGGACACAAAGCAAAATCAGCAGTGAAAAATGCACAGGGGACAGACTTGAAAGGAAATGGCTCAAGGTTGCAAGTATCTTTTCCCACTGGAGTTGTGTAGGAGATGCTTAATTCCTCTAGCATCAGATTATGACACCATCGGGAAATGTGTCTACCGGGAAGCTCGTTAGAGAGTGAGGGCCTGACATTTTTATTGGAGGCTGGTCATACCTGTTTTCTAGCATGTTCCAGAATTCCAGATCCCTGAAAAAAAGCAGGTGTTCAGCATTGTTTAGGTAACTACCTAGGTGCCAGCCAAAGGGCAACTATGCAAAAATGCCTTTCTAAAGATATGCATACTGCCCTGCTCTTTTAACCCTTCCGCATGCATGTATTTATATAGGTCCAGTTGACTGGCATTGTTACTTACAAAATTGAATTTGAATTCATATTCATCAGTTCTTTTTTTAAAAAATTAATTTTATTTATTATTATTATTATTATTTTAATTTGATCAGAGAGAGAGAGAGAGAGAGGAAAAGTGAGAAAGCAAGCTGCCAGATCTGGGACTTGAATTGCAGTTGACCATATGGGAATCCAGTGCCTTAATTACCATGCCACCTACGGCCTCTTACCAATTCTTTAAATGGTAGACCTAAGGAATGACACTAAACTGATTTGTCAGTTTAAAAGAGAAATTTGAGCACCTAGGCTTTAGATGAGATAAAACTAGCCATCTTTTGAAAAATTGAAATAAATTTGTAATTCTTTTTTGAAAGGGCCAGAGTATGATTCTATTTTAGATTTGGATAAGTAATGGAAGCCATTCATGTGCCATGCCAGGTCATAATATTAAGATTAACTACTCCTCAGATGATATTTAAAATGACTTGTGTGATGGAAACAAAGAGAATTTTATGTGCTGGTTCTGTGCAAAAGTCTATTTTCTTCTAAAAATTATTTTCTTAATCTGAAAATGAAATGTGTCTAAAATGTTGAATAACACTTTAATAGCCATGTTTCTTTCTAATAGTTCTCTTGAGAAAGGTGCTATAGTCTAACTCAGTAGTCATAAATAGAAAATATCTCTTTTGAAACGGTTATTTTCATGGATGATGAAAAAATGTTGGTGTAAAAAATCATATTATTTCTGGTGTGAGAAATTAAGCTAAAAATCAGTGTTTGCCAAATGGAAACAAAAAATTAATTGAAAAACACTTTTCATTGTTTTCTAAAATTGTTTTTAAAGTAGAAAATAAGAAACATTCTAATCTTTCTTTCTGTTGTTTTATGACTTTGTGAGTAAAGTGAACTAATCGTTTTTTGCCCATGTTTTGGCCTGTGTGTTTATATTTTCCATGTAAGTCTTGGTAACATTTATTCTTTCCTGTGATTTGCAGTGTTTGGCTTACTACATTTGTTGTAATTTATGGTCATACTGCTCCTGTATTTTTAAGTTAAAAAGGCTTATATATACATTGAAAAAAATTCCCAGAATCTATGCTTTTCATTGAAAAAAATGATCTCATTTTGAACATAATCTTCATGAGTCCAGCGGCTGTCCAGTTCAGTACTTGGTGCACAGTAGGTGCTCAATTATTCACTGACTAAGTGAATGATAAAAAAGTCTTAGTATATTTGTAATTTTGAAATTAAAGTCGTTTAGAAGTTGTATTGAAACAATTTATAATAACCATTTTATCTTTAAAAGCTAAGCTTTCTTTCTTTCTTTCTTTCTTTCTTTTTTTTTTTTTTTAATGTTTATAAGTCAGAAGATGTGTGTGCTCACCAGAAACAGAGAAGGGGGAGGGAGGGAGAATAGACAGCAGAAGGATAATAGAGTATGGTCATGCCAGAGCCTTCTCCATCCTGTTGGGATTTGGGGCATGTGTGCACGTGCCCAACTTGTATCTCAAGCATCTAGACCAGTACTTGAATCATGTCTAGTCTCCTTAACTGTTAGGTCACAGGGGCAGCCCAATAACTTTCTTTTTTAAAAAAGGACTATTACATCTAAACTCTTAGCATCTCTTACCAGCAGATCATATTTGAAACAAATCTCATTTGAGTTAATTTGAAAATGTGTTTACAGTGAAACTTCATTATAACACTTTGTTCCCTTTAATGTTTCCAACATCAAATATAAAAACACCAAAGAGATATAAGAATGTCCACGGTATGTGGAACATGCTCTGTAAGATCATGTATTTTTAAGGATACATGGGAACAGACGAGGGACTGTGCCTCCTAACGAGTATGATGATGATGTCACAGAACAATCAAATACACGAATTTCATCTGCTGGAGATAAAAGGTATAGTACATAATATAAATTCTACCCTTGAAATAACACCATGCCTATAGGAACCTACTGAAAAATTAGAAAGGAATAGAATATGAATAGCCTTCCTATTAGCAAGAAAGGAATAAAAGCAGAAAACGGGAAAGGAAGTCGTGTTGAATGAAAATTTATTGTATTTTACAGCATTCTTTTAAAGAATAAACTTTTGTTTATAAAATATGCCAAGGTGTTCTGAATAAGTTTCTGTCATTATAAAGTATATAAATTTGTTTTAAATAATGAAAGGAGAAATAAGTTTATAATTAAATGGACTTAAAATCAATTTAAAATATCTTAATGTCATAGTGATTCAGTTTGATTGGAACTAAACTAAAAATGTTCCTATAATGTGAATTTTTCTTCCAAAGTTTTTTCAATTTCAGCTTACTGAGTAGATAACTTTTATGCTTACTTTGTAAAATCAGTGCTCATATATATTTCTGTTACATTGAAAAGAAAGGAAATTATAGATATTTTATGTTTATAATCTCTATAATTTTTGTCATTTTTGGTGGCTTGCTTATATGAAGGAATGACTCTCAACCTGTGGTGTAGAGGGAAGATAATATCGTCATATGTCAAGATAGGTTTCTAATTTCTTTGAAGAAAAGTAATATATAAACAGTGCTTGGAATAAGAAAATTTGCTTTTGGGACCAGCAGATGGTGTAATGGCTATGTTGCTGGACTCCCATGTAACTGACCCTGGTTCGCGTTTTGGACTGGTGACTTAAACCCACACTGGGCACGTGTGTGTGCGTCCCCAAGATCCTGAGAGAAGAATGGAGGAGAATGAATTGTGGCATGGCCATTCCTTCTGGGGGGTAATTGGGGGGTAATTTCTTGCATTCTGTCTCTCTTGTCTTTCTGGCAAACTCATGCGCTCTATAGCAAAAACCTCTCAAAAAAAAAAAAATTGCTGTTAGGTTCTAGTCATTAAGTTTTCTTTGAAGGAGTTTTTGTTTTTCCTAACTCTTATTACCCAAGGAAAGATTTTTTCTTTTTCTTTTCTTTTTTTTTTTTTTTTTTTTTTGCATGTGTACGAAGGTTGCAGGCAGAGGAAAGTAAAAAGGGAGAGAGTGAGAAATCACTCCTCAACAGAGCCTGGTCATACTGCAGTCCTCTTTTCTGTAATATTCTGTCTTGTCAGGAACCTGGGCACATACGCGAGTAACTGGCATGTAAGCCACTGGGGCCAACCCCAAGGAAAAATATTTTAGGGATCAGTATTTTCCAAGTACGTTGCATAGATCATACATTATAATCTTTTTTAGGATTTATTTATATGAATTTATATTTATTTTTCTTATTGTGACAACTATTTTTATTAAAAAAGATTTTATTGTAGAGCCTATAAAGCCAGTGAAGCTGCCTGAAGAAAATATTTATATATGTGTGTGTGTGCATGTGTATTATTGTCAGAGAGTGTCTGTGTTTGCCAGAGAAAGAGGAGAGACAGCAAGAGAGCAGAGTGCACACCCTCTCCTGCCCGCCACCCCACCCCACCCCCACACACAATGGAACCTGGTTATGTTGCAGTCCCTTTTCCTCCATTTCTCCTCCTTGTCAGAATTTTGGGCACACACACACATGAGCCAGGTGTCTTTCTCAAGCTTCTAGGGCTGGGATTTAAACTAGTCAGTAATGAGGGATTTAGCTCTCGTAATCACTAATTTACGGGGCTGGCCCCAAAAAGGTTATATTTTTATAGAGCTTGAATACTTCCAGGTTCCACATATGAAGAGAAAATGTTGGGATTTTATCTTCAATTTTAAAAATATCTAACTATAGTGTTCACAGTACTATGAAAGATTAATAACTCAGATCTACATTTTACTCTAAATTTTTTTATGCAAATTATCTGGATTTTAATTTCTTTTTTTTTGTTTTGTTTTAGTGCTCAAGACAATGAACCATCAAAGTCTGCTAATCGGGACATCTGTAGAAAAAAAAAAATGCTCTTTGGTTTGTACAAAACTCTCAATTAGACTTTTACAGACTCATATATGAGGTCTTTAGTGAGAACTTGGAATTATAATTAAAATTGCTACTAATAAAATTGAGTGCTTACTTTATGATAAGCACAGTACTGAGTATTTAACATGTATTATTATCGTTCTATGTACAATGTTAAACCTAAATAATTTTGTTAGTGATGTGCTTTCTATAGATGATAAATGAAGTAGTAGTTCAAGTAATAAGTTTTAATTTCACATTTTTATTAGCACTTCCTTATGGTGTAGCTCTTTCTTGTGTTTTGTTTTATATATGTTATGTTTTTCCTTTTAATTTTCTTCAACTACCACACAACTGCCTTGTCTTTTAGTTCAGTTTCTCTGAATCTTTTTTCGTTTGTTCTTTCTGTGTAGTTTCTGAGAAGGTACTTTGTTCAAATCATGATGATGACTCACATATTCTGTTTATTTATGTCAAAAGTCAAAGTCATTGCTGAATATAAGCTTTTGATTTGCTGTTTTACACTTGTCACAATTTAACTTTAGAAACGTGTCTTTTTTTTTTTTTCCTGTTTATAGGATCTTTGTGTGATAACTGTTAGTAAAACATTAACTCAACTTTGTTTTTTAGTGAAGTGTATTAGGAAATTGAATGAAAGTTTAGGTTTATTCAACCTAAAATTAGTAATTTAAATTTTGACTTAGAGACATATAATCACCTTTTAGTCTCAGAATTTTGTTTCTTTGAAATGGCTTTAACACCTAGAATTTCCATCTAGTATAATGTGTGTAAGCGAGACTCAACTAGTTAAACGTATCTGTAGGTCAAAATAAAGATGATATTTTTTGATATGTATTTTTCTATATGTGCTAAAAATATGAGAATGATTTTTCTAAGCTGAGAACCCGCTCATAATTTTATAAATAAATTACTTTATCCTGCCATTTTAAAGATAAATGTTGTGAGTTTATCACTGTAATCCGGGAATTCCGAATGACTATTTGTTGAGATAATAAACTCTAATGTTTGGAACAGATCATTAAAGTAATTTAATTCAGTGATTTTTCTCATGGTTGCATCGTTTTGCCCCCTGATATATATTTTAATACAATATATTTATACCAATCTCTGTTATATAATATTTTCTGTCTCTAGAGGCAGCATATTCTATCTTTAGTTGGCTTTGGTTGTTATGATATTCTTATTTCAATTGAAATGAAATTTACCTTTCAATCATTTTCCCCAAGGATTTCATTTGGGGCCTATTGATTTCTTAATTAAAAAAAAAAAGATAATTGACTGTTTAGAGTGAAATACCAATGCACTGTAGGGTTTATAATAGAATCATATTTTCTGAATGTTTTTAATTTTTTAATATTTGGGAAATTTTCTTCCTTATTGTTATTAACTGTTCAAATCTCTTAAGGCCCAAGAACATCTTTGTTTAATTTGTTATTTCAAGTATGTTAAAATTTTTAAAATAAAAATTGGGAGCACATGCACTCACTGGAGATAGACAGAGAGGAAAAGTGAGAACTCATCCTCCAGATGGGATGGACACACCACAGTCCCGTCTCCATTCTCCTTCTGGGGTCTTGGGCACACACACACATGCACCTGGACATGAGCTTTAGCCACTGCATCCAGGGCTCGAACCATGGTCATCCATGTGGGTGTTCAGCAATGTAACTGCTGTGCCATCTGCTGGCCCCAGTAAAAATTGTTTTTAAAGTTTATCTATTTATTCTGTTATAGAGAGACAGGGAGAAAGGGAGATAGAGAAAGGCAGAGACAGAGGCACTACAACAGGGTCTTTACATAGTGATCTACCCATAGTCTTAGCCAGACCAGATTATAGCACATGTGTGTGTGTACTTGGTATGTTCAGGAAAGTCCCAGGATATGAACCCAGGACCATTTCCTTCTGGGTCCAGTTGTGTTACAATTATACTGCTGCCTGACCCCTAATAAAGTGTTTTTTTTTTTTTTTTTAACAATTCAGAGTGTAGTTTGTTTTGGAGAATATTTAATGTGTAATCAAAAGAACATCTGTGGTGTGGTTGTTGAGTATAGTGATTTATAAATGCCAATTAAGTCAAGTTGATTGGCAATGCCTACAAATCTTGTGTATCCTTAATGCTTTCTAAAATTCATTTATTCATTTATTTTGCCAGAAGGCACATGCATTTGCCAGAGAGAGAGACAGACACACAGAGAAACAGAGACAGAGGGAGAGGGAGAAAGCATGCCCAGTGGGGCATTGTCATACCCTTTTCTTCCATTTCTCCATGCTGTCATGATTTGGAGTTTACACGCACATTCAACTGGCATGTTTTTAAGCCACTTGGGCTGGGATTTGAACTGTGTAGTCAGTCACTTGGGATCTGGCTCCCTCAACCACCAAGTCTTATTTTTAATGATTTTATATCTTTCTATCAATTTGTTAGAAGTATTGAATTTCCTGACAAAATTGTTCTTACTGTGGGTCCTAGGGGTCTAGAGCGATTTTCTTAATGTTCTTGCACCTTTCAAGCAAGACCTGCTTGTCCGTGACAGGTAGGATGTCTCTCTTTCCACAGAACTCCCTCAACAAAGGGTTGCTGTCGCTTGTTACTTGGTACAGGGCTGGTCTTAAGCGTCTGAGTTTCAGGCATGGGTTTCTTTCCATGATCTTGCCCCACCCGAGAGTGACAGCCAACCCTCCTTTCTCTGTCTGTGGACCGTTTTGCATTAGAATTCCCTGCCGGGACCAGCAGTTAGCGCAATGGCTATGTTGCTAGACTCCCACATAGTAGACCGCGGTTCACGTCCCGGACCCGGTAGCTTAAAACTCACGCCGGGTGTGTGTGCGTGCATGCCCAAGATCCCAAGAGGAGAATGGAGGAGAAGGGATTGCGGTGTGGCCACCCCCCCGCCCCCCGGGGGGGTGATTTCTCGCTTTCTGTCTCTCTGTCTGTCTCTGTCTGTCTGGTGAGCGCACACGCCCTATAGCAAAAACCCCCAAAAAAAAAAAAAAAAAAAAAAAGATTTCCCTGCCTTTCCCTTAATAGTAACTAACCATTGCTTTGTATCAATGCAGAATGCTGGATCCAAGCTGGCTTTCTGCTCCCTCAGCAGTGGATTATGGATTTTGTTTGTATGAGAGAAGAGTCTGTGTTTTATGCCTAAGTGCCATTGATGGTGTCCCGCGTTCACCCCCACCCCCCCC